ACACTTGGCTTACAGTCTTAAAATCATTCTTCTGACAAGAATTTATTCATCTGGAACTGTGTTTATTTTTATGCATGCATACATTATCCCAAAATGGATACGTAAAATATAGTCATTACTGTTCTTGATAAACATGAATTAGAGAGCATTCATCCACTTGTCTTTTTGATTCATGAGTACTTATCAGGTAGTATCTTCCAGAAAGATGCTCCAGAAAAGACTTAACTATTGTCATCACTACTGAGGTACTTGAGCCTTCCTGACCAGAAGAAATAACAGAACTCAAGGTGACCAAAATGCAAAAAATGTCTTGAACTCATAATTATGGTCACATCTTTTATTCTCTGCTAGTGTATATCAGAAATAAGTTGCATTTGATAAAAGATACATAGTCACAAGGCTGGTACACTTGCCTGCTGGAGCATAAATATAGCTCTGATAATATAAGCTCTCATGGGAAGGACAATACGTTTCTCAGTCTTTATTAACCTTTTCACAAAACGTGTGACCATATCATTCTGCACAACTAATACCCTCTAAACCACCATGTGAAACATTGCTTCCACAAATCACATCTCTTTATAGTAAGCAAAATAACTCTAACCCTGAATTAACTCAGAGAGAAGGTACCATCTGAAAGCAAAGGAGAAAATAACATTTAGGTCTATTGAGTTAAAAGGGTCTTACACCACTCCCTGTGACACCTTTAAAATTTTGGCCAAAAGAACACTTTTGTGTTATTGTTATTGGAGCTGAATTCTAGAATGCAAACTTGTTTTCAATGAGAGAATACTTTCAGCCCTACAAGACTTTGATTATAATTCAGAGTAAATCCCTATAATAACATTTAAGTTTAGCCACTAATAGGTATATTGTCAAAACAGGAAAGGAAATAGGCAGCTTAGCCCATATTTATTTTTTTAAAAAATGAATTTCAACAATTTCCCATGACTATTAGCTTAAATACACAAGTAAATCATTCCCATGTCCAAAATAAAAACATGTATTTTAAAATTTAAAAAGCCTATTTGTAGTTATTTATAATAGATACATATTGGCTGTTAGATTTTAAATATTCCAGAGGTCTTAAGTTCTAACCTGACATCATGAAGGTTATTGCCTCTCTATAATCAATAGAGCAGATTGAATTAAAGTGTATGACCTCTACTATGAAAAATGATTCCACAAGCAAATGGAAATGAAGAGACAATAGAAAGACAGCAGAACCAAAGCAGCAAATCATCTTGTCAGGGAATTATCTTGTGATCTCAGCAACCAGATGCATTAGCATCACTCTGCACGTGTCTGCTACTCCACAAATATCTTGGGTAGCTGTAGCATCCACTCAAAATGTGGTCACCTGGGAGCTTGTTAGAAGCACAATCTCAGACATATTCCAGCCCTACTGAATCAGAATCTGCATTTTAACAAGAGCTCTAAGTGATTTGGATGCATGATAAAACTGGAGAACCACTATTTCAGAAATTTTGAAACCCCATTTTTTTCCGAATTCAGGGCAATGATGCATCACAGTGATTAACTCACACAAGCCATCTTTTCAAGGAAGACAGAGAACAGAGAAATCCTAGAGAGATACACAGAATTTTCTACAAGGTATGGGGTAAAGAATCATGTCTATATAGAAGGAGGGATTAAAGAGTTTCTCTAGAAGTATATATTTTCCATAAGGTTGAGAAAATATCCAATATCCATGCAAAGAATGAGGAAGTAGACAGGGACACTTGGAATATTCTTCTGCCCCAAAATACCAGCAACTATTTATGCCACTGGGGCTTCCCAGGTGGCTCAGTGGTTTAAAAAAAAAAAATCTGCCTGCCTAGCAGGAGATGAGGATTCAATCTATGGGAAGGAGAGATCCCCTCAAGAAGGAAATGGTAACCCACTGTAGTAATTTTGCCTGGGAAATCCCATGACGAAGGATCCTAGTGGGCTACAGTCCATGGGGTTGCAAAGAGTCAGACACAGCTGAGTGACTAAACAACAATAATCTTGTCACTTCTAGAAATTTTATTTTTATTGCTGAATTGTATCCTTAAGTATCCTCAAGAAAGGGAAACCAGTATCAATAGTTTTAGTCAGACATTATATTGAAGAAAAATTCTATCTGCAAATCTGAATAGCAGTTGAGGAGAGCCCTAGCTGCTCTTGATCTATTCCAGGTATTTTCAATTGTTGTTCTGAATTTGCATTTTTCTAATTGTGGCAAAGTTTATAGTTAAGTAAAAGGACTTGAAATGCATGTCAGCTATTCATCCATTCCTTTATTCAAACACTTCTGGGACTATCTGGGACTGTCCCCAGATTGTGTATAGGTGCTAAGTGCTAGAAATACAATGAAAAAGACATAACTTCTGCTCCCTCAAAGCACAGCCAGCCGAGACAGCATACAAAACAGTAATTACACTAAGATGTTTTCAGTGCACAGAAGAAAACAGAAATTGCTCAAATATAATAATGGAACCTTCTTGAAAGCATTCAGAGAAAGAAACACATGGTCTGTGACTTTCACTTCACCACTGTACGTATGTCATTAAATTCCATTAGCCTCTGTATGTCATAATTATTTAAATGTGGCGTACAACTGCCTCAAGGCATGTTTTTAAAAGCATCCCATTATTGAGGGTGCTAAAAAGCAGCCACACATATTACTATCAATTACTACTGGGAACACCTAGAGCAGAATGTTTTGTAAACAGACCGAAACATACAACTCCAAATAAATGCCATCCTTGCAAAATACGTCACCTTCAGTGGCTTACAGTTATTTGATCTGTCTGTTCTGAAGTACTGACTGATTTTTAAATTTATAACAACAAATTTAACAGTGATTGGCTGTTATTTACAAATAAAATATCATAAATGTAACTATTTTTATGGCAAAGCCAACATTTGTTAATGACAACTCTATAGGAAAAGGTAATTAAATTATTTGTAATGACTCAGGGAAAAAACTGAAGGAAATAATGTATGCATAACCTTTTAAAAGTTGGTTTTATTAGGTTGGTGCAAAAGTAATTGCAGTTTTACACTGCTGAACTTTGCTGTTTGATATTGGGATCAGTTCAGTTCAGTCACTCAGTCGTGTCTGACTCTTTGTGACCCCATGGACCACAGTGGACCAGGCTTCCGTGTCCATCACCAGCTTCCGGAGCTTGCTCAAACTCATGTCCACTGAGTCAGTGATGCCATCCAACCATCTCATCCTCTGTCATCCCCTTCTCCTCCTGCCTTCAATCTTATACATTCTTAAATAAAAGTGGTTATGTTGTACAGCATTCTGATGTGAATTTCTCACTTTATTATTTTTTGCTAATGACTTACTACTTGTTTATTTTATATTTATTTTACACTAATGAAATGATGTTAGACAAAAAGCAAATTCGAGCAATTTTCTTATTTGAGTTCAAATTGGGTTGTAAATCAGTGGAGATAATTTGCAACATCAATGACACATTTGGCCCAGGAACTGCAAATGAACATACAGTGCAGCAGTGGTTCAAGAAGTTATGCAAAGGCAACAAGAACCTTGAAGATGAGGAGCACAGTGGCCAGCTATCAGAAGTTGACACCGATCAATTGAGAGCAATCATCGAAGCTGATCCTCATACAGCTACATGAGAAGTTGGTGATGAACTCAACATCAAGCATTCTATGGTCATTTGGCTTTTGCAGCAAATTCAAAGGTGAAAAACCTCGATAAATGGGTGCCTCATGAACTGACCACGTCAAAAAAAAAAAAAAAAAACCATTGAAGTGCTGTCTTCTCTTATTTTACACAACAGTGAATCATTTCTCAATCAGACTGTGGAACGTATTGTATACCACAACCATCGACGAACAACTCAGTCGGACTGAGAAGAAGCTCCAACGAACTTCCCAGAGCCAAGTGAAAGTCGCTCAGTCCTGTCTGACTCTGAGACAGCATGGACTATATGGTCCATGGAATTCTCAAGGCCAGAACATTGGAGTGGGTAGCCTTTCCCTTCTCCAGGGGATCTTCCCAGCCTAGGAACCGAACCCAGGTCTCCTGCATCGCAGGCAGATTCTTTACCCGCTGAATCACAAGGGAAGCCAAATTTACACCTAAAAATGTCATGGTCATTATTTGGTGGTCTGCTGCCTGTCTGATCCACTATCGCTTTCTGAATCTGGCAAAACCACTACACCTGGGAAGTTCAGCACATCAATGAGATGCACCACAAACTGCAATGCCTGCAGCTGGCATTGGTCAGCAGAAAGGACACAATTCTTCTCCATGACAATGTCTGACTGCATGTTGCACAACCAATGCTTTCAAAGTTGAATGAATTGGGTTATGAAGTTTTGCCTCATCCTCCATATTCACCTGACCTCTCGCCAATTGACTACCACTTCTTCAAGCATCTCAACAACTTTTTACAGGGAAAATGCTTCCACAACCAGCAGGAGGCAGACATGCTTTCCAAGAGTTCATTAAATCCCAAAGCATGGATTTTTACTCTACAGGAATAAACAAACTTATTTCTCATTGGCAAAAATACGTTGATTGTAATGGTTCCTATTTTGATTAATAAAGAAGTGTTTGAGCCTACTTATAATGATTTAAAATTCATGGTCCAAAACCACAATTACATTTGCACCAACCTTATACATTAAATGCAGAATGAATGAACCTTATGATCACTAGGTTAAGACAGTTCTCAGCTCCCAATCTCTTCTGAGGTCAAAAATAATTTTATATCAACTGACAAAATGTATAAAAATCCTCCCAAGTTAAAACATACTCCAGCAGAGTCACATGTGGGCTTTATATAACAGATTATATTCAGGTAGACAAATAACTAGAGACTAGAGTATGCTCCTTGGTCTTTCTAAAATAATTGTGAAACTGAAACTTTCTTTGTAATGATATTCCTTTTAAAGTACCCCTGAAGGTACCTCTAGCTTTAGGATGTTCAGATTTGTCTGTTCTGTTGGGTTTCAATTGACGGTAGACCACTATGTCAGAAAATGTGAGAGCAACATGTATGCATATAGGTATTGTAGACTTTTCTCTTAGACTGCATCTTTAGAAATGGTATTGAGGTATGTCACATTGTCTAAAATATTTTGGAAGATTCTTTTCTAAGTTACCTCTTAATCACTTTAAATGAAGCAAATCATTTCTCCTTCGGGGTAAATCTGATTTTTAAAACAGCTAACAGTCAGTCAGATCCAAATTTGATGAATTACATATATAATCATGAGACTGTTTTTCTAAATATCAGGCTAGAGGGGAAAAAAGCATGATTACAAAGATACTGATTTTCTTACAATGCTTATGAACCAATTACAAAAACTATTCTTAATTTCAAAAAATATAGTAATATTAGAATAAACATAGGATACAAAGTTCACTAATAATTTTGTTCTAAAAAAACTGATGAATTATTTAAGCATAACTAGACTATCCCAAAGCCTTTGACTGTGTGGATCACAATAAACTGTGGAAAATTCTAAAAGAGATGGGAATACAGGACCACCTGACCTGGCTTTTGAGAAACCTATACTCAGGTCAGGAAGCAACAGTTAGAACTGGACATGGAACAACAGACTGGTTCCAAATGGGAAAAGGAGTACGTCAAGGCTGTATATTGTCACCATGCTTATATAACTTATATGCAGAGTACATCATGAGAAACGCTGGGCTGGAAGAAGCACAAGCTAGAATCAAGATTGCTCGGAGAAATATCAATAACCTCAGATGTGTAGATGATACCACCCTTATGGCAGAAAGTGAAGAGGAACTAAAAGCCTCTTGATGAAAGTGAAAGAGGAGAGTGAAAAAGTTGGCTTAAAGCTCAACATTCAGAAAACTAAGATCATGGCATCTGGTCCCATCATTTCATGGTGATTGGAGGNATGGACTTGAGTTTGAGTAAACTCCGGGAGTTGGTGATGGACAGGGAGGGCTGGCGTGTTGCGATTCATGGGGTCGCAAAGGGTCTGACACGACTGAGCAACTGAACTGAACTGAATCACAGTTTATCTGGGCTTCCCTGGTGGCTCAGATGGTAAAGAAATCACCTACAGTGCAGAAGACCTGGGTTGGATCCCTCGGTCAGGAATTTCCCCTGGAGAAGGGAATGGCTACCCACTCCAGATTTCTTGCCTTTAGAATCCCATGAATAAAGGAGCCTGGAGGGCTAGAGTTCATGTGGTCACAGAGAGTTGGACGTTACTGAGCGACTAAGCACACACACAAACATGGTGTATCTCTACCTTATGTTGTGTAAATATCGTGATAGCAATGTAGGAAATGACTTAAATGATGATATATTTCTCTAGATCGAGTTTTTTAATTGTGGGCATTATGACTTCAATTTTTATTTCCAGTTCCTAAGAAAGCTCCTCACACAGAACCGGCACTCAATGTGGAATAAATAAGTAAATGAGAGCAATTGAGTACTTTGGTAGAATTCATATAATATTGTGAGCTATATCACTGATCTACCAGCTGGAACACGGGCAGGAGCTGTGGATGGTGAAGAGAGACCTCTCCGGAAGCACCTGTCCAGGTGACAAAGGAAAACCCAAGACCAGAGAATCTACCACTTCTGAGCCATCCGTTTGAGGGAGCCTCAGTCCAGGAACACCTAACACACAGAGTTTCAGAGGAGTCCCAGTTGGGCCAGATCAATGATCCAGAAGAGCCGTTGGAAAGGCCTGAAGGACACTCGAGACCAGAGACACAACCCCAGGAGGGGAAGCTCCCTGGGAAGCCAAGCTGTGAACACGGCAGCTTAGGGACAGCTGGTGGTGTGTGTTCAGGGGTCATAGAGGAGCCAGTCCCTCCAGGGGGTGCTGTCCATGACCGTGACGCCGGTGGATCAGATAAAGGTCCTCTGATTCAGGACGAGGAAAGTCTCTTCAAATGCAATGAGTGCGGGAAAGTTTTTAACAAGAAACGCCTCCTTGCGCGACATGAGCGGATTCACTCTGGAGTGAAGCCCTATGAATGCACAGAGTGTGGGAAAACGTTCAGTAAGAGCACTTATCTCCTGCAGCACCACATGGTCCACAGCGGGGAGAAGCCCTATAAGTGCATGGAGTGCGGCAAGGCCTTCAACCGCAAGTCACACCTGACGCAGCACCAGCGGATTCACAGTGGGGAGAAGCCCTACAAGTGCAGTGAGTGTGGAAAGGCCTTCACCCACCGCTCCACTTTTGTTTTGCATAACAGGAGCCACACTGGAGAAAAACCCTTTGTGTGCAAGGAATGCGGAAAAGCCTTCCGAGATAGGCCGGGTTTCATTCGCCACTACATCATCCACAGTGGCGAGAATCCATATGAGTGCTTCGAGTGTGGCAAGGTGTTCAAACACAGGTCATACCTCATGTGGCACCAGCAGACCCACACTGGGGAGAAGCCCTACGAGTGCAGCGAATGTGGGAAAGCCTTCTGTGAGAGCGCAGCCCTCATTCACCACTATGTCATCCACACCGGGGAGAAGCCCTTCGAGTGCCTCGAGTGTGGCAAGGCCTTCAACCACAGGTCATACCTCAAGCGGCACCAGCGGATCCACACTGGGGAGAAGCCCTATGTGTGCACTGAGTGTGGAAAGGCCTTCACCCACTGCTCCACTTTCATCTTGCATAAAAGGGCACACACTGGCGAGAAACCTTTTGAGTGTAAAGAATGTGGGAAAGCCTTCAGCAATCGGGCAGACCTCATTCGGCACTTTAGCATCCACACTGGAGAGAAGCCGTATGAGTGCACGGAGTGTGGGAAGGCCTTCAACCGCAGGTCTGGCCTCACCAGACACCAGCGGATTCACAGTGGAGAGAAGCCCTATGAGTGCATGGAGTGCGGGAAGACCTTCTGCTGGAGCACAAACCTCATTCGACACTCCATCATCCACACTGGAGAGAAGCCCTATGAGTGCAGTGAGTGTGGAAAGGCCTTCAGTCGCAGCTCGTCCCTCACTCAGCACCAGCGGGTTCATACTGGCAGAAACCCCATCAGTGTGACAGAAGTGGGAAGACCCTTTACAAGTGGGCAAACCTCAGTCAACCTTCAAGAACTCCTACTGGGGAAAGACTTTATGAATGTAACCACTGAGGAAAATCTTTTGCCAGAAGAAACAACTTACTCAGAATCTGATCATTCATACCAAAGAGAAACCCCACAGTTTTCTTCCCTGTGAGAAAAACTATTGCAGGATATTAATAGTCATCTAAAGAGTTATGTTGGAAATTGCCCCAACCAAGAGCCTTATTCTGCACCTGAGAATTCATCAAGGAGAGACACCCAGTGGTTATTATGCACTTTGGGAAACCTTCAGCTCCATCTTTCTTCTTAGTTTACATTTCAGTATTATCTCAGGAATGTTTTTAAAAAAACAGAAGGGAGAGACTTAGAAAATGAACTGCAAAAAAGTTTCTTTCAGACTTCCTTGCCAGACTGTGGCACTTTGTCATAGATTCATTCCTTAGTTAACTTGTAAGAAGTGCATTTTGTTTCCGTGGTAAAGAACCTATACTATGTGTCTTGTGTATACATTCATTGCTATCCAGTGTAAGGTGAGTTAGGTCTGGAACCTTTCATCAAACATCTTTGTTCTAAAACATTGTCTCTGTTCTTAAGGAGCTTAATTTTGGTTTGAGCCACTAAATACCTTTATATTTAAGGAGGTAAGAATTCACATATGAACGGTCATGTTCTTTTGCACCGTTTAAGACTATTTAGGCTTTGATTTTTTAAAGACAAACCTGTTTTTCGTATGTTTTTAACAACCTAACACTCAGATGTTTTCTGCTCCTGTACTAATCCTGGTTTACTGATTTCTTTAATTATATGGTAAGTCTTTTAATTGGGTAAAGTGATTCCTCTTTACCCAGTTCAGTTTTCTTATTTAAAATGTCAGTCTTCTTATTTAAAACTGATTTAGCATCCTCATTATTTTGAATTTCCATGTAAAGTTTTGTGTTAAGTTTTTACTAGCAAAATTACTGACTTTTGAAAGAAATTGAGTTAAATTGGCAAATTAAGATGTTTAGGGTCAGCATCTTTGCTGTTTTCGGTTTTTTCCAGTTTATGAATGTATTATCTCTGTATATTTATTTGCTATCTCTTGATTTATTTCATTATTATTTAATAAGCTTCAATAATAGGTCCTATACAATTTTTATAAGATTTATATATAGACATGGGTTTTTTTGTTTGTTTGTTGTTAGTAATTCTAGATTGCATTGATTTTTGAATTTTCAGCTTCCATAGAGTCTTTATTAGTATACAGAAATATATATATTTTTCATATCCTACAATCTTGCTCTTTCTTTTGATAGAATGCTTTGGATTTTCTACATAGAAATATCCTCTGCAAATAGAGAAGTTTTCTTTCTTTCTTCCCATCTATATACCTGTCATTTCCTTTTCTCGTCTTATTGCACTAGCTAGAACTTCCAATATAATTTTGAATACTAGTAGTGAGAAAACATGTCCTTGGCTGGTTCCTGATAGTAGGGGGAAAACATCCATATTTTCATCATTAAACTGTGGTGTTAGTTGTAAGGTTTTCTTCGTAGAGCTTTCTTTATCAAATTTAGAAAGTTTCCCATATTCCTAATTGGCTGAGAATTTTTTGTTGCTGTGAATGAGTGTTGAATTTGTCAAATGGTTTTTTTTTTAATCAACTGATAGAATCTTGTGTTTTTTTCTTTTGTAGCCTGTTGTTATATATTATGTTTATGTGAGTTTTGAATGTTGAGCCAGGCTTGTATCCTTGAAATAAGCCCTACTTGGTCATGGAGTACAGTTATTTTTATATATATTACTGTATTTAATATGCTGGTATTTTGTTGAAGTTTTCCTCTCATTTCATGAGTGACAGTGGTACGTTTTAAATATATATATATTTTTTTCTTTCTTTCTTTGTCCATTGTCAATGTCTGGTTTTGGGGTCTAGGTGATTCTGGCCACCTAACATGTGTTAAGAGGTGTTCTTCCCAAAAGACAGTGTATAGTATAGAATCGGTTTGGTGTGTTCTTTTAATGATTGATAGCATTCTCCAGTGAACCATTTGGTCTTGAAGAGTTCTCTTTTGAATGCTTCTTACTTACTTATTTATTTTATTTAATATGTATAGAACTCTTCAGTTTCTATTTCATATCAGATAAATTTTTACAGTTTATCTTTTTCTAGAAATTGTCCCATTTCATCTAAACGTTCTTATTTGTTTAAAGTGTTCCTTTATTATCATTCTAATGGCAGTAGACTCTGTATTTATAACCCATATTTTATTCCTGATGTTAGAAATATGTTAATTCTCTTTTATGTTTGTCAGTCTTCTTAGACATTTGTCAGTTTTTGAAATCATTTTAAAAAACCAGCACTTTATATCATTTTTCCCTCTGTCTTTTCCAAATTTCACTGATTTTTTTCCCTCTCTGATCCTTATTACATCATTGCTTCTGTTTGCTTTGGTACTATTTTCGTCTGCAGTTGCTTAAGGTGGGTGCTTAGGTTATTGATTTGAGGATTTTTTTTTTTCAGTTTTTTTAATATAAGCATTAAATTCTATAAATTTCCCTTAAAAAAAAAAAGATTGCTGGGGGAAATATCAATAATCTCAGATATGCAGATGACACCCCACTTCTGGCAGAAAGCAAAGAAGAACTAAAGAGCCTCTTGATGAAAGCAAAAGAGAAGAGTGAAAAAGTTGGCTTAAAACTCAACATTAAAAAAATAAGTTCATGGCATCCGGTCCTATCACTTCATGGCAAGTAGATGGGAAACAGTGGAAATAGTGACAGACTTTATTTTTGGGGGGCTTCAAAGTCACTGCAGATGGTGACTGCAGCCATGAAATTAAAAGCTGCTTGCTGCTTGGAAGAAAAGCTATGACCCACCTAGACAGCATATTAAAAAGCAGAGACATTCCTTTGCCAATAAAGGTCTGTCTATTCAAAGCTATGGTTTTTCCAGTATTCATGTATGGATGTGAGAGTTGGACCATAAAGAAAGCTGAGTGCCAAAGAACTGATCCTTTTGAACCGTGGTGTTGGAGAAGACTCTTGAGAGTCCCTTGGACAGCAAGGAGTTCAAACCAGTCAATCCTAAGGGAAATTGGTCCTGAATATTTATTGGAAGGACTGATGCTGAAGCTGAAATTCCAATACTTTGGCCACCTGATGTGAAGACTAACTCATTTGAAAAGTTCCTGATGCAGGGAAAGACTAAAGGTGGGAGGAGAAGAGGACGACAGAGAATGAGATGATTGGATGGCATCACCAACTCAACAGATATGAGTTTGAATAAACCCCAGGAGTTGGTGACAGACAGGAGGCCTGGCGTGCTGCAATCCATGGGGTCTCAAAGAGTCCGATATGACTCAGCAACTGAACTGAACTGAGAATTCTACTGTGTTCTAAAATCTGGCTCAAGTTACCTTCATCTCTTAGCAGTATTACTGAAATAGCCTCAGTCAATCAGTCAGTTCAGTCGCTCAGTCGTGTCTGACTCTTTGCGACCCCATGAATCGCAGCACACCAGGCCTCCCTTCTTCACCAACTCCTGGAGTTTACTCAAACTCATGTCCATCGAGTCAGGGATGCCATCCAGCCATCTCATCCTCTGTTGTCCCCTTCTCCTCCTGCCCCCAATCCCTCCCAGCCTTTTCCAATGAGTCAACTCTTCGCATGAGGTGGCCAGAGTACTGGACTTTCAGCTTCAGTATCAGTCCTTCCAATGAACACCCAGGACTGATCTCCTTTAGGATGGACTGGTTGGATCTCTTTGCAGTCCAAGGGACTCTCAAGAGTCTTCTCCAACACCACAGTTCAAAAGCATCAATTTTTNTGTGATCCACACAGTCAAAGGCTTCAACATAGTCAGTTAATAAAGCAGAAATAGATGTTTTTCTGGAACTCCCTTGCTTTTTTGATGACCCAGCAGATGTTGGCAATTTGATCTCTGGTTCCTCTGCCTTTTCTGAAACCAGCTTGAACATCTGTAAGTTCACAGTTCACGCCTAGTAGTCTTCAAAAGAAGAAGTGGGCAACAGAGGATGACATGGTTGGATGGCATTACTGACTCAAGGGACATAAACTTGAGCAAATTCCCAGTGATATTGGAGGACAGAGAAGCCTGGGGTGCTGCAGTCTTTGGGGTTGCAAATAGCTGGACAAAACTTGGGCATTGAACAAAAACAGTAAAGTAGTCTTCAAACAAGTTTGCTTACACACTCCTGTAAATATTTCTAAGTCAACAACTGAAATTTTCATTATGCATTTAAATTGCTGTAAATGAACTTTTTTATTTTATATATACCTCATGGAATCTAAAAGTCATATCAATTTAACCCCATCCACCAATTAAAAATATGAATAAGTACTTTTTTTTTAAAGGTATAAATAATAAACTCTTTTCTTTAGTAATTAACTAATTAAACTTGTTTTTCCATTATGTAACCACACAGAAGTTTATATTACATATAATACTATATTCCATATATTATATAAATATATTTTTACATAGGTTTATATTGTTGTTTAGTCACTAAGTTGTGTCCAACTCTTTTGTGACCCCATGGACTTGGGCCTGCCAAGCTCTTCTATCCGTAGGATTTCACATCAAGATTACTAGAGTGGGTTATCATTTCCTACTCCAGGGGATCTTCCTGACCCAGGGATCAAACCCATGTCTCCTGCATTGTAGGCAAATTTTCTCGACTGCAAAATTTTTTGACTGCTGAGCCACCATGGAAATTTAAAACTTAGAGGTGTGCTGTGGAGCATGTTGTGGTCACAAAAGAGTCAGACATGACTAAGCAACTAAACAACAACAACGTACAACATGTTACCCAATAATCATTAGCCAGTAGCAATATGGGGCTACTGAGCACTTGAAATACAGCTAGTCCAGAGTGAGAAGTGCTGTAAGGTAAAATGCACACCACTGATTTTCATAAAATCAATATGAATACTGAGTATAAATTCTCTCAATAATTTTTCTATTGATTATATAATGTTGAAATAATGTTTTGATATATTGGGCTAAAAAAAATAAATTTAAATGAACACACCTATTTTAAAATTTTAAGTTACATTTAAAAATACATGGTTCACATTTGTAATTCTGTTAGAATTACATTTTGCTTGTAGGTCTGGTTTAGAATGTTCTACCTAACAATTTTCTGTAATAAAAATCTAACTTGAGTTTCTTTTCATTTCCTGGGCCTATAACATCCTCAATTCTTTTAAAAGAGATTTTTAATTTTGTTATCTTTCCAGTTATCAGTGGAATACAGTTTATGGAAGCAATAAACTTTAAAATAGTTCATAATTAAGTCAACATAAAATTTTACTGGAATTGTACATCTTAATGAGATAGATGAGGCTTTTCCCCCCAAATTAGTTGGTATATACATACATGAAAATTTATTGTGTAATAACATTTAACAGCAATTCAATTGATATTCTTTATTTTCATACTGAGAAACTCTAATCATACAAATGGGTAGGGATAGAAATTTAGGGTTTTTTTAATGTCACTAAACTATTTGATCTTCATCCAAATTTCATTACAAAAATCTATAGTGGTCTACCAATAAAGTTTTAATAATCAACTGATAATTTAAATATTTAATTTTGATAAACACAAGAAACTCAAACTCCAACCTGTTTTTTGTTTGTTCTGTCTAATCATTGGAGTCATTTGGCTTCTAATTTATGGTGAGTATACTGCAAAAAAAAAAAGAATTATCAATTATTTTACAGTATACTGCAAAAAAAAAGGAATTACCAAAAAGCTACTCTGTGCATCTATTACTCTTTCAGTTAAAGGCTCTTTCTTCTACCAGATACAATTAAAAAGGTTAAGACAAAATCAAAATTATATTCCTAATGATTTTGGAGAATTAATTTTTAGACAAAATATTTCTTATCACAGTCTTTAAATATATTTTTGCCAAAGCCATAGAGCTACAGATTTAGTTAATTCATTTTAAGGAAGATATGGGGTTAGGAAATCAATTCTCATTATTAAACCAGTTTGCCCACAATTAAATTTTTTTCTGTCAGAAAAGTCTGATTTGATTTTTCAATGTAAATAATTGTTTTTAATAAAGATCCATGTGGGAACAATCTTCTGAATCTAAATTCAGCTACTTTAGGCTTCTATAATAGTCTAAATTTCTATGATATAGAGATAAATAGACGAACGGATAAAGCAGAAGGCAGAAATCTGTGACACAATAA